CTGGCTGAGGGCCAGGAGATGTCCCAACCCACCTCCATGTGCCAGAAAAGAACTCTGAAGAGTCCAAGAATGCTGTCTGAATCTCACCCTCCACATTGTTAGGAAGGTATAGTTGACAAGGAAGGAAACGGAACATGCTTTATTTAATAGTTTGTTAGCTTATGTGGCCATGGCATGGATATTCTGAGGTCTGTTTGCCCTGGAGGCAAAAGTTATCTTCATTGTCTCCCATTTCTTCTCTCACATTTCTCCCGGCCACAGGAGAACCCTCTATTGCCAAGCCACTCTCTTGCAATCTTCTTTCCACTCAAATGCAAACTCAGATTAAGAAGAAAAAAGCTCCCTAAGGAGCTTTGAAAAATGCCTTCTTGTTCAGGGTCAGGTCAGGTCAGGTCTGTGGGGCTTGTTCCTTGATCCAACTGTTATAGCTTCTCCATCATTTATTCGTTCCTTTGTTCTGGCACTCATTCATTCATTTGTTTGCTATTTATTAAGTGCCTACTGACTATGTGTCCAGCACCAGGGATGGAAAGGGGAATACTCATTCATTCATTTGTTTGCTATTTATTAAGTGCCTACTGACTATGTGTCCAGCACCAGGGATGGAAAGGGGAATAAGGCACAGGCCCCCTCACATCCCACACCCGGGGTCAGGGGAGGTAGGCAGTCATGTTCCATAAAGTGCTCCTGAGCTCTGAAAAACACCTGTGCAGAGTGCATTCAGGGGACAAGGTAGAGAGTGGCCACATCTACCTGGGAGGTGGGAAGGTCAAGAAAACCTTCTGAGGGTGCTGACCCTAGACCTGGTCTCCACAAGAATGGGCAGGCATTTCAGACAGAGAGGGAGGAATATGACAAAGGCATGGAGCTGTGCGATAGCCTAGCACATTCAGTAGCCCTTGCAGGAATGAGTGACTCCGCATGCTTGTAGTACTCTTCTGCAGCGACACCATTCACTCTTTTGGTGCTAAGCATCAACCTAACCCACACACTTTGAAAAACACAAACCCTCCAGGGAAAGTGATACATTCAGTTACAGTTGCAGTCTTTGTGCCTGAACTGATGGAATCCTTTAGCCTTAGGCGAGGCTCCTGATGCTCCTGGCTCTCTGGCCATAACACTTCCACTCCTGCACTCCCACTCCCCAGTACCCCCAGTACACACAGTACTGCCTAACCTCTTTATTCTGGGCACATACAGCAGGTAAAAGCTAAGAAGTAAACGTCCTAGCTGCTACTGACCCCAGGAGTAGGGTCTAATGGTTCGTCCTTTCATCCCACCCTCCCAGGAAGGGGTCAGCTGTGTAATCTGAAGCCTCCATTGGTGATAGGCTTAGGTTGAGTGGAGAATGAAAAGTTTCAGATTTCTGGGGTTTTTTTTGTTTTTTTTTTTTTTGAGTTGGAGTCTCGCTCTGTCACCCAGGCTGGAATGCAGTGGCGCCATCTCGGCTCACCGAAACCTCCGCCTCCCCAGTTCAAACGATTCTGCTGCCTCAGCCTCCTGAGTAGCTGGGACTACAGGCGTGTGCCACCACGCCCAGATAATTTTTGTATTTTTAGTAGAGACGGGGTTTCACCGTGTTGGCCAGGATGGTCTTGAACTCCCGGCTTCAAGTGATCCACCCTCCTCCGCCTCCCAAAGTGCTGGGATTACAGGCATCAGCCATCACGCCTGGCCTGTTTTCAGATTTCTTAATTCTGTTGATTGCTAAAGGAGTTGGTCATTCAAATCTCCATCTTAAGTAGGGATTTAGGTGTGGCCTTCCAGAAGGCTGCTGCTACCCCATCATAATATTCTCCTTTGTGTCTGATTATTTACCTTAACAATTCATTTCTCTGGATTAAGCACTGGGGTGCAGGGTGGTGGGAGGGTGGCTATCGGGAGAACCCACTCCCGATGTTTAACGTGGGTTCTTTTCTATTTCCTAAGTGTCTCGGCTGGGTTGAGAAATAAAGGGAAAGAGCACAAGAGAGAAATTTAAAGCTGGGTGTTAGGGGGAGACATCACATATTGGCAGGATCCGTGATGTTCCCCGAGCCGCAAAACCAGCAAATTTTTATCAGGGATTTTCAAAAGGGGAGGGAGTGCAGGAATAGGGTGTGGGTCACAGAGATCACATACTTCACAAGGTAATAAAATAATCACAAAGCAAATGGAGGCAGGGCGAGATCACAGGACCACCGGATGAGGTGAAATTAAAATTGCTAATGAAGTTTCGGGCATGCATTGTCATTGATAACATCTTATCAGGAAACAGGGTTTGAGAGCAGGTAACCTGTCTGACCACAATTTATTAGGCGGGAATTTTCCTCCACCTGATAAGCCTGGGAGCACTACTGGAGACCAGGGCTTATTTCATCCCTTCGGCTTCAACCATAAAAGATGGGATGCCTTAAAAGGGGCCGTCCATAGGCCTAGCTTCAGGGCGCATTCTCTTTCTCAGGGATGTTCCTTGCTGAGAAAAAGAATTCAGTGATATTTCTCCTATTTGCTTATGAAAGAGGAGAAATATAGCTCTGTTCCCTCTGGCTCACCGGCGGCCAGTTCAAAGTTACCTCTCTTGTTCCCTGAACATCGCTGTTATCCTGTTCTTTTTTAAAGATGCCCAGATTTCATATTGTTCAAACACATATGCTCTACAAACAGTTTGTGCAGTTGATACAATCACAGGGTCCTGAGGCGACATTCATCGTCCTCAGTTTAAGATGACGGGATTGGCCGGGCGCGGTGGCTCATGCCTGTAATCCCAGCACTTTGGGAGGCCGAGGCGGGCGGATCACGAGGTCAGGAGATCGAGTCCATCCTGGCTAACACGGTGAAACCCCCTCTCTACTGAAAAATACAAAAAACTAGCCGGGCGAGGTGGCAGGCACCTGTAGTCCCAGCTACTCGGGAGGCTGAGGCAGGAGAATGGCATGAACCCGGGAGGCGGAGCTTGCAGTGAGCTGAGATCCGGCCACTGCATTCCAGCCCGGGCAACAGAGCCAGACTCTATCTCAAAAAAAAAAAAAAAAAAAAAAGATGACGGGATTAAGAGACTAAAGTAAAGATAAGCATAGGAAACACAAGAGTATTGATTGGGGAAGTGATAAGTGTCCACGAAATCTTCACAAATTATGTTCAGAGATTACCGTAAAGACAGGTGTAAGAAATTATACAAGTATTAATTTGGGGAACTAATAAATGTCCATGAAATCTTCACAATTTATGTTCTTCTGCCGCAGCTTCAGCCGGTCCCTCCATTTGGGGTCTCTGACTTCCCACAACAGGTGGCCTAAAAATGCAAGTGTCTTAGGGAGGTGACACCTCCCTCATCACCATGACACCTCCCTCATCACCAGTTGAGACTGAGTTCATCTGACCTCTTTCCTTTGCATATGGAGGGTCTAAGCAGAAATGGGATCACTGGTGCCTGGAAGGGGGAACTGCTTAGAGGGAGAAAAGTGCAGAAAAGGGAAGTGGGGCACCTTGAAGACCTACTTCAGGCTTTAGCTCGGGAATGTCATTTCCCTTCACTGTGGTCAGAATCACAGACTACATCTGACAGGTCATGGAGTAGCTCATTCACCCATTCATTCATTCATTCATTCATTCATCTACTCGGTGTGTCCTTCACCAAACTTGTATTGAGCAGGCCCGTGTGGGGGCTCCATGATGAGTTAGGCTGACTGCTGTCATACCTCCAGCTGTCTCACCTTGTTCTATGGCCGGATCCTGCCTCCACCTGGGACCCCTTCTCCATCAGCCCATGTGTCTGAAGCTCACACTCACTTCTCAGCCCACTCTGGCCCCTTTCATCGTCTAGGGTCACTCCTTCCCCTCTCACATCAGTGCTGACTCTGTGCTTCACCAGCAGAGTTCCCTCTCTCCATTGATGTTGCAGCTTTTACTCAACAAATATTGCCTCTCCTGGAGAGCAGGATCCTGGCATCCTTTCGTGTTTATGTCCCTCCACAGATGTGTACACAGTGCTTGATTAATGCTGAATGAATGAATGAATGGTGGGTAAGTTGGTTTTTTCCAGGTTAATGTTAATCCCATACAGTTTTTTTTTTTTCTTTTTTTTCTTTTTTTGAGACAGAGTTTTGCTCTTGTTGCCCAGGCTGGAGTGCAATGGCGTGATGTCAGCTCATTGCAACCTCCGCCTCCCGGGTTCAGGCAATTCTCCTGCCTCAGGCTCCTGAGTAGCTGGGATTACAGGCATGCGCCACCACGCCTGGCTAATTTTGTATTTTTAATAGAGACAGGGTTTCTCCACGTTGGTCAGGCTTGTCTTGAACTCCTGACCTCAGGTGATCTGCCCGCCTTGACCTCCCAAAGTGTTGGGATTACAGGCGTGAGCCACCACGGCTGGCCAACCCCATAGAATTCTAAGTGTCTTTCGTCAATAGGCTGGAGGCATTAAAAACTGAGGGTGTTTTCCTGGTACACTGACATAGGATGTATCTGTTCTGAGTATGTGTGTGTATGTGAGTGTGTATGTGTGTTCCCCTTAAATCACAGGGAAAGCTTGTGCTCAGCCATAGTCCATATGTGTCCTGCTGTGTTGGGAGTTAGTGGGGATTCAGGAGGCCCTTTCTCTGGGCACAATCCTGGAGATGCTTTAAGGATCATAACCACAAGAGTCTCTTACTTTTATGTGATGCCTACAGTGTACAAAGTTTATTCACAGCTGCTTCTCACAACAGCCCTATGTTTTTTGTTTTTGTTTTGGTTTTTTGAAATGGAGTCTCGCTCTGTCGCCCAGGCTGGAGGCAGTGGCACGATCTCGGCTCACTGCAAGCTCTGCCTCCCGGGTTCACGCCATTCTTCTGCCTCAGCCTCCAGAGTAGCTGGGACTACAGGCGCCCACCACCATACTCGGCTAATTTTTTGTATTTTTAGTAGAGATGGGGTTCACCGTGTTAGCCAGGATGGTCTCGATCTCCTGACCTCATGATCTGCTGGCCTCAGCCTCCCAAAGTGCTGGGATTATAGGCGTGAGCCACCGCGCCCGGCACAACAGCCCTATCTTGTCTTACAGAATTAGAAATGATTGCTCAGGGAAATTAAGCCACCTACTTGAGGCCACTCAGCTGTTAGGGCGGAGCAGGTCTTCTCCCCTGGGTCCCAGCTCTCCTCTCTTCCCCTTGGGTTCCCAGGTTCCCCACCCTAACTAACAGAGGGGCCCAGGAAAGATGCACACCTGTCCTGTCTCAGCAGGGCCAGGGGCTATGTCTCTCATCTCATGGCTTCGGTGGAACGAGGCCCCATCCCGACTGTCCTCCAGGAGCCCTGCTGAAATGGTGCTGGAGACACTTATGATGGAGCTGACGGGCCAGATGCGAGAGGCTGAGAGGCAGCAGCGGGAGCGCAGCACTGCAGTCAGGAAGGTCTGCACCGGTGTGGACTACAGCTGGCTGGCCAGCACACCCCGGCCCACCTATGACCTCAGCCCCAGTGAGCGGCTGCAGCTGGAGGATGTCTGCGTTAAGATCCACCCATCCTATTGTGGGCCTGCCATCCTCAGGTGAGCACTGGGATGGGGATCCCTGCTGGGCTGCAGGCTCCAGGAAAGGTGGCTGCAGTGGCAGGGGCCTGAAGCCACCAGGACTAGAGCCAGGGAGCCTGGATGACCTAGTTACCTGTTAGAAGGAGCAAGAGGGGAAAAGGAATCTGAAAGAAACCATGAAACACTGGGCTAGGGTTGGGGGTCCAGCAGGAGGCAGGAGGCAGCTCCTGGAGGCGTGTGAGTTTTGATTCAAGAGAACACAATACCCTTGAGTTTTCTCTTCTCCTTGCCCAGATTATTATTGTCCTGGATTTTAACTTACCTGGCTTCTTTTCTTTCGTCAGTTTACCTTCAATATTACCTTCTTGGAGAAGTTTTCCCAGACATTTCTCCAAAATCAGATTCTTAATTATCCTAGCTTGTTAGCTTTCATGCTAGTCTGCCCACAGATGAGTGTGTGTGTTTGAGTGTGTGTGTGTGTGAGTGTGTGTATGAGAGAGTGTGTGTGTGAGAGTGTGTGTGTTAGTGTGTGTGAGAGAGTGTGTGTGTGAGAGTGTGTAGGAAGGTTTCAGACAGAATTCTGGGGCACTGCACATTTAGAGCTTGGGTGCCACAATGTTCCTTGAATTTAAATGTAATCCTACCGAAGCTGTGACCACATGGTCCTGTCTCAGAAGAATCGGTGCTGTTCTCAAAGCATCATCGAGTAATTTCAAAATAACTCAAGTTCTTTATCTACATTTCTCTTTGTAAAGGAAAATAAATCCACAATAAAACATCTTAAAATTCCTGTTAGTCTCCCAAAATCTTCCCTCACCCATCCCTTTAACTAACATATGCATTTATTGTACACCTTTTTCTTTGAAATTCTCTTTAAAAGCTCTCTCCTTCAGCCCCATTCACCTTCTTCAGCCCCGTTCACACTCCTTGGTTTCTGTAGAGCTTTTACCACCCCTCCCCTTTTTTCCTCCAGGTGGAGAACCTTACCCTCCCCCAGCTTTCTGAATCTGGACTGCAGAAGCCTCCCAAAGCGTATCTATTCCAGAAGCACCTGGGGACAGGGGTGGGTCATGGGGTGGAGCTGCTGAAAAGGGCACCTGGACTGGCAAATGAAACCTCAAAAGTGAGGGGGAAGACTGAGTGCACACAGGTCATGATTGTCCTGTCTCATTTCCGGTCTCATGTCACTGCTGAGAAGTCCTGACTCTCAATCTGGTGGAGGAAACCTGGTATTAAATAGACTTGCTAGCATTAACTTGTGAGCTCTAAGCAAAGATAGCCTAGGCAGAGTAAACAGCTTGGGAAACCACACCGGGCCTTGGGAGAACCTGGGACATGTCGGGGCCACAAGTGATTCTTCCCAGCTGATGTGCAGAGTCTTCCAGGGAAGTATCAGGGGACCCCTGTGCATGGCAAACAGCGCACCTGGAAGGAATATCACAGGGGCAGTGACATAATCAGATATAGGTTTCAGAAAGATCATGCTGGCCAGGGGGTGGAGAAGAGACAGGAGCGGCTTAGCCAGAAGGCCTCCCATCAGTAAGGCTGGCACTGCAAAGGGCTCCCCTTAATGCTGTATCATCAACAACCTTAGGTAAGTGTCAGGATCTTTACATACCTTAGTTCATTATAGCTCACAAAAAGGCAGCTGTCATCTCAGATTACAGACGAGGAGGCTAAGGCCAATGGAGGCCAGAGGTGGCAGAGCTGAGATTTGAACTCAGGATTAGTTGAATCAGTAGCAACGTGGGGTGGTTCCTGATTCGCTTCAGGAGCAGGGTAGAGTGGACTAACTGGCCACGAGGATGCACGGGCAGCCCCTCGGGGTTAGACGCCCCGGGGTGCCAGGCCCGCTGTTGTGGATGAATGGCCCCAGCGCCCTCCCCTCCCGCCCAGGTTCCGGCAGCTGTTGGCGGAGCAGGAGCCCGAGGTGCAGGAGGTGTCCCAGATTTTCCGCTCGGTGCTGCAGGAGGTTCTGGAGAGGATGAAGCAGGAAGAGGAGGCCCACAAGCTGACGCGCCAGTGGAGCCTGCGGCCCCGCGGCAGCCTGGCCACCTTCAAGACCCGCGCGCGCATCTCCCCCTTCGCCAGCGACATCAGGACCATCTCCGAGGACGTGGAGCGGGACGCGCCGCCGCCACTGCGGTCCTGGAGCATGCCCGAATTCCGGGCGCCCAAAGCCAACTGACCGCGGCCGCTCCCCTGCCCAGAAGCGGAGCCGTCTGCAGGGGGAATGATAGGCCGGTGACTGGAGCGCCGGGCCCTGGAACCTCCTCACCTAGCCCTGAAGAGAAGACCCAAGAGGCGGCTGCATCCCAAGACGCTGCTGTAAAATGAAGCTCCATCTTCTTCCTCTGGCCACAAAGCCGAGTTAGGTCGTAGAGCCGCACCGCCTTTGCCCTCTCCTGCGCGAGTCTGCGGGAGCAGCCCCTTCCCTAACTGGCGGATTCAAGGTTTTGAAAGACAGACCATTGCCCCATCCTCATCTCCTGCTTCTGTCTAAAAGGGGACAGTTGCCCTGCCTTTTTGCAAGACCTAGATTCTCACCCCAATTTCAGGGATGTCCCATTCACTCCCCTACCCCCATCCCCAGTGCTAAGGGACCTGTTGGATGGTATCCATTCTTGCTAGTGACTGGCTGAGCTCACCACTGCAGATGGGTCACAGCCTTATGGGCAGGCACAGCTGGAAGGGACCAGAGAGACAATTAGATCCACTCTTTTCAGCTAGTAAATGTGGAACTTGAGGCTCAGACAGGGACACTTGTTTTGCCTTTAACTGCAGCCAGCTGCTCATGAACAGTGAGATTGTTCCTGCAAAAATAATGTCTGTTCTTGAGTTTGGAATCCTGGGCTATGAAGGGACAGATCCAAAGGCTACATCTCTACCTACCTGTGGCCTGATCCATCTCTTACCTTGGCACTGGGATGAGAATCTCAGCTGCTCTCCAAGAGGTGTAGCTAGGGGTGGAGGTAGGTTACTCATTACCCCACGCCACAATGTCATCACATGGTCTGTGGCCAGTCCCGAACAGCTTCTTTCAGAGGCTAAGCTCCAAGGTCTTCAGATGCTCCTCTAAAGAGCCCAGGCTTGTCAATTCCAGGGTGCCCCTTTCTGCAGCTGGTCACACCTGCTCTCTGGCTTTCTCCAGAAAGCGATGCCCAAATCCCTGACTGACCTTGAGGCAGCTGAGTGAAATGTTCTAGAAGAGCTTCCTGCAGACTTCATTGTCCTTCCATTTTCTAACACGGTTAGGCCTTGATGATGGGTATGTGGATTACCCAATGTGTGGATCACCCATGGAAAATCTGGAAGGCCAGGCGGCCTTCCCACACACTCTGGGGTTGAAGTGGGGTGTGAGGGGGATGGGTGGGGAAAGTGTCTACCCTCAACTACCAGTGCACATGCGGAAAATGCAAGTGGACCTTAATAGTAGCCTCAATAAAATGCTAGGAGGAGATAGAATCAATTGGGGGGGGGGGGGGAATCTGTGTATTCCCTCAGTGGAAACAAAGTTTTTTTGAATGATTTGGTTTTGAACTTCCCTTTTGGAGTTTTTTTTGATTTTCACTTGAATCTGGACGGAGAATCATAGGATGGTGGAAAACCTCTGATCTAACACTATCAAGAAGAAACAGTTGATTGGCTTATTAATTTAATTGGTAGATGTGAGAATCACTTAAAATAGGTATCTTAAACATCTTACATATTTTATTTGAAGACATAAAAAAGTTCACTCGATTGCCAAATTATTTTTATTTTTATTTATTTATTTATTTTTTTGAGACTGAGTCGCACTCTGTTGCCCAGGCTGCAGTGCAGTGGCGTGATCTCGGCTCACCACAACCTCTGCCTCCCGGGTTCAAGCGATTCTCCTGCCTCAGCCTCCTGAGTAGCTGGGACTACAGGCGTGTACCACCACGCCCAGCTAATTTTTGTATTTTTATTAGAGATGGGGTTTCACTATGTTGCCCAGGCTGGTCTCAAACTCCTGACCTCGTGATCCACTCGCCGTGGCCTCCCAAAGTGCTGGGATTACAGGCATGAGCCACTGTGCCTGGGTGCCAAACTTTTGATGTAGGTCCAAGCTGTGCTTTTCTGTGACCTATATGTTTTGTCTGGTGGGAGTTCTACACTTACGTTTTCTTGGTTTGCACTTTAATCATAACAATAATAACAACTGGCATAAAAGTTTTGGAACAAGCAGAAGTGACCCTGGGTAAGCAGACTGCTCAGCTGGTAGGGGCAAAAGTGCTGGGGGAGAATTAGAAAAAGGCCTCCACATTGTGAGCTTTCCCGGTGCCCTGGATATGGGTCAGCAAATGTTTTAGAGGAAGTGGTTAACCTGGAGAGAGATTCAAAGGAGGCTGGATAAGAGAATGTCTATTTTTCTCCTTCCCTATCACCTCACATGTACCTATTCTCCCCAAAGAGAAGGAAGACCTTACGTTTTCAATGTGGTGTTCTTTTTTAAGCTTAAGTAACTGGCTGCCAATGAAAACCTTCCCTTCCAGTCACAGGCATGTGGACAGAACCCACCAGACACTGGTTGTCCTACTACAGGCAATCCTAGCTGGTGGCTCTCAAATTCATGTGGGTCCGGAAGTTGTTCCTCTGGATTCAGGTTGTTAAAGGGACTAATGAGATCTGCTTCCATTTATATTTTTAAAAACTCAATAACCACAAATAAAAGAACAAAAAGTTTGAGAGTGTCCTTGTAAGTATCTGATGAGTGGCTGGCGGTATTTTGGAGGGGACAGGTTGAGTGTGTTCAAGACTGCCGCAGCCAGCCTGTTTGCACCCAGCTCACCACCACCAGCCACTAGAGGGCATGGGAGGGAGGCTTGTACTACTTTGTGACTACATTTTTTTTTTTTAACTTAACTATGAAAATCTTCAAACACACAAAAATGTAGAGGGAAAAGTTTAAGAAGCCCCATATATCTATCATGAAAGTTTAATAGTTACTAACATTTGGCCATATTTTCTTTATTTTCATATGTGGAGTATTTTAAGATAAATCCCAAGATGTTGTGACACTTTACCCCTGAATACTTCAGTATGCACTGCATAGGAATAAGAACTTCTTCCTGTATAACTATACTACCATTATCACTCCTAACAAAATTAACAGTAATTCTTTAATATTACCTAACACCCTGTCCATATTCACATTTCCCTGTTCCCAAGAAATGATTCTTGCCGTTTATTCCTTTGAACAAGGATCTAATCAAGCCCCATACATTGAGAAGAAAGTTGCAGTTTGTTTTATTTTTGTTGTTGTTGTTATTTTATTACATTTTATTTGCAGCTTGTTTTACAGTGGTCATATAATACTATGTAATTCCATAATGAAGCATTGTTTAAAGATAGAGTGCTTATGGAACACTCATGTTAACATGCAACAAGCTAATGACTGAACATAAATGATAAAAATTCTGCAAATTAGCCTAATGATACTCTTTACTCAGATCCTTGTCATATTATTTGATTAAAATTCTTCCACAGTTGGAACCAAGATTCCTTCATACTTTGAAAAGTAATGTTAAAAATTGATAGTGGGCCAGGCACGGTGGCTCACGCCTGTAATCCCAGCACTTTGGGAGGCCATGGGGGGCAGATCATGTGAAGTCAGGAGTTTGAGACCAGCCTGGCCAATATGGTGAAACCCTATCTCTACTAAAAATACAAAAATTATCCAGGCATGAAAACACATGTCTGTAATTCCAGCTACTCGGGAGGCTGAGGCAGGAGAACCACTTGAACCCAGGAAGTGGAGGTTGCAGTGAGCTGAGATGGCACCACTGCACTCCAGCTGGGTGACACAGCCAGACTCCATCTCAAAAAAAAAAAAAAAAAAAAATTGATAGTGACAATTATATATAATCTGACTTTTCATTTGATGAAAATCCTTGTCACATCATATGTTTTATTTTCTAGGACCTGCTTGCAAATAGCAACCTAAAATCTTCTCCCTTTTTCTTGCCATTTAGGAACAAAACACTAACATTTATCAAAATAACTCAGGGGAAATCTTAAGAATTCCAATAGCAGATAATGAAAAAAGTTTGTCTATTTTTGATGCCATTGTTCATCACATAAATTTCAGTCTATGTCTTAATATTCATATGGTCTCCCAACAAAACACAATGTTACTTCAAAATTTATTCATAGACAAATTATTTTTATTTTATGTATGTATGTATGTATTTATTTTTGAGACGGAGTCTTACTCTGTCACCCAGGCTGGAGTGCAGTGGCACGATCTCTGCTCACTGCAAGCTCCATCTCCCGGGTTCACACCATTCTCCTGCCTCAGCCTCCCAAGTAGCTGGGACTACAGGCACTCGCCATCACACCCGGCTAAATTTTTTGTATATTTAGTAGAGACAGGGTTTCACCATGTTAGCCAGGATGGTCTCGATCTCCTGACCTCATGATCCACCCGCCTCAGCCTCCCAAAGTGTTGGGATTACAGGCGTGAGCCACCGCGCCCAGCTGACAAATTATTTTTAGACAATTATTTTGATTTATTACCTTGACTCATTTGTTAAAAGGGGAAATTGACATCTGTTTCCCTTTACAAATATTATTACATATTGCGTCATATTGGCATTATAATATTAAGGTGCTAAAGACAAAAACAAAAATTATTTCTTTATTGTATTCAAGGTAAAAATAATAATTTAAGTTTCTAAAAATGTGCAAGTTTTTATATAACTGCAAAAGCTGTTCACAAGCCAATAGAGGTTGGAAAGTGTTTTCTTTAACATTTTATTGTATTGCATTCCAGTTACAATTCCCTTGTTGGAACAAACACAATATTCTTAAAGCTCTGCAGTAAAACTTGGAAGTTTTCCAGCTCAGTCTCCCGTCTCAGCTAGGATTTGATTCAGGGAAAATTACATTCCAGTAACAAGTTGTTCCTCTCTGTGTGAACTGAGCACTGCTGCTAACTGCTTCAAAGCCACTTCTGGCACCTGGTCAGGGCCATAGGCAAATCCAGGGCAAAGGGGGATACAGTTAAAGTTAGCCTCTCCTTAGTAGAAAAGAAATCAAACCACTAGGAAAAAAAAAAAAGGCTCCAAACTGCAAAAGGAACAGGGGAAATGTGTACTTTATCCAAATAAGCCAGCCCAATAACATTGCTATGGACAGAAAAGACTTTGTCATCAAGAAACTCTTTTATTAACATTTGAATGACCCTTTACAGTTTACAAAGTGCTTTCACTCATATTATCTCACTTGATCTGGATTAGGGATTGAGGTACATTATGTTTTGTTTCAGACTGGGCATCATATGGCTGCCTAGAACTGGAAGCCAGAGTTCCTTCCACATGCTGTCAACATTATAGATCCTTCTGTGTTCTCGGAACAGCCCCCAAATACTCTATCACTGTACTTATCACAAAGTGATGTAAATGCACATGCTTTTGCTATTGCTTCTTCCTCCCACTTTGCTGTTCCCCCGCCTCCAGTAGTTTGTGAAATCCTTAAGTGGAGGAAGCAGGTCTTTTACTTCTGTGTCCCCATCTTCTGGGCACACAGTAGGTACTTTACAAATGCGCTTAACAGATGGGTGCATAGGGACACCGACATAGAGAGCTTATCTAGGACAGAGGCAGAGTGAAGAGGTGAGTGAACACTGAGGCAATTACGATACATCTATATCATTCATTATAAAATCTTTGAGGCACTACGGTGCTCATGTCTCATTTCAGTTTGTGTAACTCAAGATATGTCACTCACACAGTAGTCAAAAACCTAAGAATGCATTCCTTTGCTCATCAAGTATGTACTGAACGACTCCATGTGTAATAATTATAAAGGAGACGGGTCAGGGGTATGGTTACCCATAAGCCTGCCAGCTAGATAAGACTCTTGTTGTCTTGAAATTATTAATGATTTTTTAATAAAGGTCTCCAAATTTAATTTTGCCCTTATGTAGCTGCAAGTTATCTAGCTGGTCCTGATGGCACCCATAATTGGGAAGTTCAGGGTTGTTACTGACCAAATCTGAGCGCAATGGAATGTGCTCTCTCTCCTCTTCCTCCTCCTCTTTTCCTTCTTCTCTCAGTCTCTCTTCTCTTCTTCCCCTTCTTCCTCTCTTTTTTTTCCACGTCTTAGCTCTGCCTTCTTCTGTGTGGTGGTTGACACTTAATCACCTCTTTTAGTGTGATCATATCCCTCCCTGCAACTAGAAAAGATGGCTGATGGAAGTTCAGGCTGACATGTCCCTAGTTTAGCACTCCCAACACCCATATACTAATCCCAGAGGAAGACCCTGTGGCAGAGCCTGGTGAGCTAGTCACCAAACCCGCTTCTTCATTCTGCTGAACTCACAACTAGAGTTCAGCCTCCCTTTCCTTGGCAGTAGCCATGTGACCAAGTTTGGCCAATAGAATATGAGCAGATGTGAAAGCCTCTATTCCAGTTTGGCCCATTAAAAACCTTCCAAAAGTGATTCTCTGTCCTCTTTCCCCATCATGCTGGATTCTGATACCCAAGAAGAGAGGGTAGTCACAAGATGAAAGGGGCCTGAGTCCCTGAATGACCATATGGAAGGCCATATTGGACTTATGTGAACTACAAATATACTTCTATTTGTTAAACCACTGAGATTTGAAATTTATCTTTGCAGATGTTGGAGTAACTGATCTGTAACCAACATACACCTTGATTCCCCCTACGTGGGATGTCTACCACCCTTGGACCAGTTACTATTGCTGGGGAATGAGGTGCTAAGAGTGATCTAGCCTGGATCATGTGCCCCTCT